AAAAAAAAAAAAACCAAACCCCTATATACATGCAAATAATATTTATTTTTAAGTTCTGGGCACAGGCCAGCAGTTCCAGAGCAGTGGAGATGGAGATGGGAGGATGGCTAGAGCTGGTGGACCAAGAAGTCTAGTGAGTTTTTAGGCTCAGTGAGAGACCCTGACTCAAAAAGCATGGTGAAGAGTGATAGAGCAGGAAGAGGCCCAATGCACATCTGGCCTCTGTTCACACATGCACAAACACACTCACGCGTGCATGCACACCCAGCTATGTGTGGGTTTGGGTGAGTCATTTAACTTCTCCATGCCTCCATTCTTACTACAGATGTTCTGGAAATTTCTGTGAGATAATTTGTATAGCACACAGAGAAAAAGCACAGTAGGTGCTACAGAATGACTTCTTGTGAGAGATCACATAGACATGTATCAAATCATGCTTTCACCTTTACATAGAAGGACACCATTTGAGGCTCCGCATGAGCATTTGTCATTGTGTTCTACCATGTGTGTCCCACAGGCACGCTCCTGTCCAAGGTTATGAGATTAGGGGGATTGTCCAATGTTGATGCCTTTCAGCATATCATGAGTGATGTGTAGAAGTTTGGTAGATGTGAAGGAAAAGGTTAAAGGCCCATTAGAAAGCCTAGGGACAAATTGGGGCAACATGGGGCTAGGGGTGGGTTTTCTAAACTAAGGGGAAGAAAAGCAACTTGGGAAAGTGGATGCTCTGTTAGTTCCTTTTGCTGTAACAAAACATCATGACCAAGGCATCATAAAATAAAGGGGTTCGAGTCCATAAACGCATAATGAAGGCATGGTAGCAGGAAGAGCTGAGAGCTTAAACCATAAGCAGGGGCCAGAGAGAGTGAATACAGGGGATGGTGGGAGAAAGATTTCCCTTGTGACCCAATAAGGCCATATCTAATCATCTCAGACAGTTTGGCCACCTGGGAACCAGGCATTCGAACATGTGAGCCTATGGGGCTATTCTTGTTCAAACCGCCACCATGTACAGACGAAGATGAGTTGTTGAGGAAGTACAGAGAGAGGAGGCTCAAAAAAAAAAAAAAAGGTGAAGCCAGGACTGAGAGACCTTGAGTGACAAGAGCAGTGGGGAGCCACTGAAGGAACCTGAGCAAGAGAGTGGTGCTCAGATGTAAAGAGCCTTTCAAATTCTCTTTTGGTTGCACTGACCTGGGGCAACTTTGTGTGGTTCTTTCTCAGGGACAGGGTGTTATGTTGGCACCAACAATTGCCTTCAGACAAGGCTCTGGCTACAACCCCTTATCCAGCACTCAGAAACCAGAATGGATTCATGATGCTTCAGTGTTGCTGGGGAAGGCAGATATCAGAAATGTACCTCTGACTAGCTTCACCAAAGAATCGGGGTCCAGTGCCATTCCAGGCTCCCCTGTTGTCCACACTGAAGCTGTGACTCTCCCCCCACAGATGGGGAACACTGTGCAGAAGAAAGACAGCCTTCCAGAAGAGCCTTCCTATGCCTTCCCAACACCTAGGGACACCCTTCCTTCCGCTACAGGGAGCAGCTACAAGGTCCCACCCAGGTTTCTCATTCCCAGAGTGGAGCAACAGAACACGAAGCCTAATATTTATGACACCCCTAAATCCATGCAGGGTGTGTCCCATGACACCCCTAAAGCCATGCAGGATGTGTCTCGGGCTGGAAAGGAGCTGGAGAAAGGCAGAGAGGCTCTAGAGAATTCCTGGATCTCCAGACAGACGAATTCTCTGTTTCCCGATTCAGACAGGCTATCTGTGGCCAGCTCAGACAGCAGAGCTAGTGTGGTGTCTTCATGCTCCTCTATATCCACAGACTCCTCCCCGGGCTCCTCCTCAGAGGACTCGGTGAAGGAGCTGTGGATGGACAGGGACTTTGCCAGAGAGACAGCAATGGCCCTGCAGCACAAAGTAGACAGCTCAACAGCGGGCCTGCTGCTCTTTGTAAGCAGCACTTGGAGATTCCGAGACTCCTTGGAGACCAACATCAAGACAATCCGAAGGGCCGCTGACCACGTCGAAGAATCCTTAAGAGAGTTTCTGGATTTTGCCCAAGGTGTTGGTGGGATGGCCTGCAATCTCACCGATAGCCACCTTCAGGCTAGAATTAGAGATCAGCTCCAGACAATCTCCGGCTCCTACCAGACTCTCCTGGATGCCAAAGGAAGTCTGGACCGCTGCAACTGGTCCCTCGAAGTTCTTGTGACGGACAAAGTCCACAACAGCCTGGACGACCTGGAGAGGTTTGTCATGGTGGCACGGCTTGTTCCAGAAGATGTCAAGAGATTTACGTCCATTGTCATTGCCAATGGGAAGCTCCTTTTCAAACAGAACTGTGAGAGAGGAGAGGTGGAGTCCAAGTGTGAAAAATGCACCCAGCGTCCCCAAAAAGAGACTGAGACCTGCCAAAAGAGCAGTCCCTTCAACAAACTGGCAACCGAACACTCCCTTGACCTGGCAAAGAAGAGCAGAGTGAATGTCTGTGGACGGGTGAGCTCAGGGTGACAAACAGTAAACCTGGGGGCTTTGTTTGTCACCTGAAATGGTCCTCACTGAGGGGGAATGCTGGGAATGTGTGTGTGTAGAAATGTGCACATATGTATGGAAGCCAGAGGACATCCGGGGTGTGACTCGTCAGTGTTTCTTACTGGCCTGGAAGTGGCCAACTAGGCTAGGCTGGCTGGATGGCAAGGCCTAGGGATCTGCCTTTCTGTGCCTCCCAGCACTGGAGTGACAGGCTTGTGCTACCACACCTAACCTTCCCCAACCCATTGAGCCAGGTCCTTGTACTTGCAAAGCACTTCCCAGGCCCTCTCTGAGTATGTGTGTATAGGTGTGTGATGTCTGGCTCTGTCTTTCCTATCTTATTTTATTGTTGTTGTTGTTTTGTTTTTGAGAACAGGGTCTCATTATGTAGCCCTGGCCTGGAACTCACTATGTAGACCAGGCTGGCCTGAGATCACAGAGATCCATCTGTCTCTGTCTGTGCCTCCCTCCTGAATGCTGTGTATAAAAGTGTGCGCCACCATGACTGGCACCAGTCTCTTTTCACTCTTTATTTTGAGATAGTATCTTCCTAAGTTGCCCAGAAGGGCTTTGGGTTTGTGTCCCTGACACCTTATCCTTCTATCCTGGTTAGGGTGATGGTGGCTGTGATGAAACACTACCAAAAGCAAGTTGTGGATGAAAGGGTTTATTTGGCTTACATTTCCACATCACTTAAGGAAGTCAGGACAGAAACTCAAGCAGGGCAAGAACCTGGAGGCAGGGGCTGGTGCAGAGGCCATGGAGGGGTGCTGCTTACTGGTTTGTTTCACATGGCTAGCTCAGCCTACTTTCTTATAGAACAAAGCACCATTGGAGGGGGTGGGAGAATCCTCCCACAAGGGGCTGGGCCCTCCCACATCAACCACTAACTAATAAAACACCATACAGGATTGCCTAAAGTCCAATCTTCTTTTTTCTTCTTTGGGTTTTTGAGACAGGGTTTCTCTGTGTAGCCTTCTCTGTGTAGTCCTGGACTCAATTTGTAGACCAGGCTGGCTTTGAACTCCCAGAGATCTGCCTGCCTCTGCCTCCCTGAGTGCTGAGATTACAGGTATGAGCTACCACGGCCAGCTCTAAAGTCCAATCTTACGGGGGCATTTTCTCAGTTGAGGTTCCCTCCTCTCCAATGACTCTAGCTTGTGTCAAGTTGATATAGAAGTAGTCAGCACAGAATCTTCCAAGGTGCTGAAATCAGAGCCCTGAGCTGTTACTGCTGGATTTCTTCACATTTGCAGGTTGAGTCACTGTAGGTGTGTTTCTCAGAGTCAGAGGAGGAGAACATTCTCGCTGCTGTGCTGACCAGCCAGCAGCTCAAGGAACCCCAAGAAGCTCTTCTCCGGCTGGGTACCTCTGTACCCCACAAGGAGACACTTGAGTTCAGGGATTCCCAGACTGCAGAGGCCCAGCAAGTGACTGTTACAAGCAGAGAGGCAGCACTTCCCAGGTTCTTCCGGAAGTGCCTGCTGACACATTCTAGAAAGTTGACTGTTTTTTGTTTGGTTTTTGTTTTGTTTTGTTTGTTTGTTTGTTTTGTATTTCCATTTTGTCAGGCTACATTGACAGGCAACGCTCAGACCTTTGCTACCAAAGCCAAGGCATGCATCAGTAGGCAGAATCATGAGCAAAAGCTCATATTTAAAAGTAAACTTTAAAGCCTGGTGGTGGTAGTGGTGCACACCTTTAATCCCAACACTTGAGAGTCTGAGGCAGGTGAATCTCTGTGAGTTCCAGGCCATCCTGGTCTACAGAGCGAGTTCCAGGACAGCCAGAGCCGTTTACATAGGGAAACCTTGTCTCAAAAATCAACCAACCAAACAAAGAAACAAAATAAACTCTAACTGGCTTGAGAGCGCACGCCTTTGATCCCAGCACTCCAGAAGCTGAGGAAGGGGGTGGGGAATTCCAGGCCAATCTAGGTTACACAGCAAGGTCTTGAGGGTGTGGTGGCGGTGGTGGTGGGGCTCAAAAACCACCAACCATGACAGAGAAACAAACAAACAAAAAAAGTGAACTTAAACCGAAAGCTATTCAAATGAGTACTATGAAGATTTAATTTTATTTTTCAGAAGTCACCTCACCTGCAAGAGAAAGGACGGCCCATCCTGGAAGGAAGGTCAAACGGAAACCAAGATTTTGGTGGCACGGTAAGCCCTCGTGCACCCCAGTGCTCTAAAGAGTGTGATCCTGCCCTGGACAGCTCTCCTGGGCTACAGAAACTCAGTGTTACCGTCTACTCCGTGTTTACGACATCCACGTGCCTTTTGCTTTCTTAGGCAGGGGGAGGAACCCTGGACACTTGGAGTCAAGCATGAACACCTAAGTATCAGGGGAAAACATTTTCAGATGCTCTTTAGGGTTATCATGGGTGACATCCACATGACAGGACATTGTCACGCGTCCTGTGATAATTTTCTCTCTCCCTCTCTCCTTTCTCTGCATTTTATAATTGAATCTAAGGTTCTGTGTAAGTCAGGCAAAGACTGCCACTGAGCTACACCCCAGCCTGGCAACCCTTTCATGCTTCTGATGATGCACACAATAATGCATTTTGGTTCGAGGTTTAGTATCTTCGTGGTATCTTTGACACTTGATCAAAATCTTTTAACCCAAAGATGTTATCACTGTGTGTTTTTATTGGCTGCCCTCTATTTGTGGCAGGAAGAAAATTTCCTTTCACCGACCTTAAATGTTTCCTCTAAATTAAATAATGCACACAGAATGAGTCCAGGGCTAGGGAGATGGCTCGGTGGGTAAGAGTGGCTTGCTATGCAAGCATGCAGACCTGAGTTCGAATCCCCAGCACCCATGTGAAAGAGCCAGTCATGGTGAGCTGCTATGTGACTGAAACCCCAGCATCAGAGGGCGGGTAGAGACAGTCAGCTTCTGGGAGCTCACTAACCAATCAGCCTAGCCAAGATGGGAACCTTCCAGTTCTATGAGAGACCGTAAGTCAAGGCGACAAGATGGGGACAGATTGGAGAAGACACCTGACACCATGTTTTAGTCTCTGAATGTATGTGCACAAGCAATACCTGTGCACCTACATACATGCACCACATAACACAAACACACACACACACACACACACTGAGCCTATTTAAAACCCAAGTAAGAGCCCAGTCGATGTTGAGAGATACAAAGGAGAAGAAGGTTACAGGAACTGTCGAGTTGCAGTAAGCCACACCAACAACTGAGGCACAGGAGAGAGCAAGAGAAAGGTGCCCTTTGCCTTGAACAAGCCAGATCAGGGCAGGTTCCCAAGTTTCAGCTGTCCCCAACCCTTAGTACTTAGCTTTGGCTCTCTCCTGCTGAAGGCCACAGTTTTGTCCCATATGAGGAATGCCTTGACTTCCTACCACTCTGATCTCTTGGATCTGGACAGAGGCTAAACATCCACAGTCCAAGCCCCCAGGTGATGCTGATGGGGCTGGTCCCCCCCAGGCAATGCTGATGGGCCTGGTCCAGGGCCCACATCTGCTTCACACTAATAGGGCTTTCTCATTGGCTCCATGTATGGGATGCACCATTGGCTTCTCAGGACCCACCTCTGCCCACAGCCCACAGCAGTCTCCCATTAAGAGACAATGACAGCTTCCTCCACCTCCGACTCCGTTCTTGACCGGGTAGAGGATAGAACCAGTGAGACATACTGACTGACACTGCCTGGAGAACAGGGCTCACGGCAAAGATCAGGCCCTCCTTGAACTGGCACTCTTCCTCCCGCCTCCAGAGAGTGGGGGTAACACCCAACTCCTCACCCCCGTGAACGTTTGAAAGTTGCAAGTTTATATAATCGGTGTGTCCTTTAGAATGTGTTTCTTATGGTTTACAGAGCTGATGGAGTAAAATTATATGAACAAATGCGTTACAGTCTATAGCCCAAGAATACATACTGTTGCACTTGGGTGGTGGTGGCTGCACGCCTTTAATCCCAGCACTCAGAGAGGCAGAGGCAGGCAGATCTCTGAGTTCTGAGTTCAAGGCCAGCCTGGTCTACAGAGTGAGTTCCAGGACAGCCAGGACTACACAGAGAAACCATGTCGAAAGAAAGAAAGAAAGAAAGAAAGAAAGAAAGAAAGAAAGAAAGAAAGAAAGAAAGAAAGAAAGAAAGAAAGAAATTCATTTGTTAGACTAATGTTACAGCCAGCTATGAATTTCCTTAGCAAATCTGCTTTTTCTCATAAGGGTTCTTGCAAATTGAGCCAAAACAGGAGAGCAAAGAACTGGCGATTCTAGTCCTTATTTTTTTTTCCCTCCTTCCTCTTCTCTAGAGTTCTACGTCTCTTGGCTCTCTCCCTCCCAGTCGGCAGAACCCGGAGAGGAAGATCCACCTGTCCGAGCACTGCAGGCTCTATTTCGGCGCACTCTTCAGAGCCATCGGTGTCTTGGCCAGCAGCCTCAGCAACAGCCAGCCCCCTGAGGTCTTCATTACTCAGAGCAAGCTGGTCATCACCGTCGGGCAGAAGCTGGTGGACACGCTGTGCAATGAGACCCAGGAGAAGGATGAGCGCAATGAGATCCTGCATGGCAGCAGTCACCTGTGTGGGCTGCTCAAGGACCTGGCGCTGGCCACCAAGAATGCGGTGATCAAGTACCCTAGCCCCAGCGCCCTGTACCGCCTCCAGACAGAGGTGGAGAAACTAGAGCACCACTCTCGGAAATTCAGAGACACATTGGAATGAAGCCTTTCCAATGCTCCCACAGAGGTCAACTCCTGGCTAGCTTCATACCCACAGCTGGTGCCACTCTGTTCTGGGGAAAAGCCACAGGGCTCGGGGATGGTATTAGTAAGTGGCTGAGCTCTGAAGGGCAATGGCTGACCACAAAGAGGTCAAGAGAGAGGGACAGGGGACAAGTCAAGACCTTGAGATGTTGACCTCGCCTTGCCAGGTGTGCGGCGCCAACAGTGGAAGCAGCATCGTAGGAGCCACGCGTCGTGTCAGCCAAATGTGTGTGTGGTTTACAGTCTACACTTAATTATTAGGCCGCACCTGCGGTCAAGTTAAAGGGCCTGAAGTGACAGCTGCGTATCAGAGGCTCTGCCCTCACAGACTGGGAGGACAGACCAAGGGGCAAAGAAATGTGAGCAGTGTGCCTGCTGCTAGTGAGAAAAGAAAGTTGGGGGGAATGGAGAATGGAGAAGGAGAAAGGATTACTTTCTGTTGCATTCATTAGAAAACTGCAGGGGTTGGTGTTGCAAGCCTTTAAGTTCAGCCCTGGGGAAGTAGAAGCAAACAGACCTTAACGAGGGCCAGACTAGCCCACAGTGAGTTCCATGCCAAAGAAGGATCTGTAGTGAGAACCTGTCTTTTTTTAAAGCCCCTCCCCCCAAAAGCAACGAGTTTGCCTTTATTATCAGTTGTTTTGCATTAACGCTGTGAGATGTATACGAATTGTACATGAATGTTTGTGCATATGTGTGTGAATGCGTGCAGCTGCTGGAAACTGAATCCAGGGTTTCATGAATACTAAGCATGTAGTACTCTGTCACCAAGATTGGCCCCTTGTTCTCCCCACCACAAAACTTACTTTGGCTGTTACTTCACCCCAAGGGTGATTTGTCTGTCTTCTGTTGAGTCCCCTACTAACTTATTTTGTACATTACAAATCCTGTATCAATCAGTTTCACTGCTCGGTTAGATTGGGTTTGTACGTCACTAGTCTCAAATCTATATTTATCTATAATCACGGATGGATTTAAACACATTCGCAAGGTCCTGAGAGATGGCTCAGGCGTTAAAAGCACCTAACACCAATATTGATTATCTCAGGGACCCACGTGGTAGAAGGAAAACTAACTCCTGATGACTGCCTTTGTACAACCACTCACAGAAAAACCTAAGCTGAAATTAAAAAAATTAAAACATGTAAGCACGCCGGCAGCAGTGCTTTCTTTGGAAGAGTCTTCGAGCCGCACCCCCTGAGTGCTGGTACCAAAGTGAAGCATCTGCTTAAAACGTCTTCGCTCTGAACATGTCTGCAGGGATCTGTGCAAGTCTGTATGTGTCAGTCTGGACTGGAAGCAAAACTGTCATTTGTGTGTTCCCGGAGTGGGGCAGGAAGACGTGGCATGCAGATGACAACCACAAAATGGTCACAGCTATGGAAGTGTTACCAAGCGCCCTCATGCAAACCACTTCCTTTTTCTCCCCTTGCAGCTCAGCTTTTCAACTCCCCTTTTCCTATGGTTACCTAACCTTATCATTCACTTAGTGCAGCTCCTGTTAGTATGATTATCTTTTCATGCCGTGGAAGGGTCCCTGTCTCCCCTGAACCCATGATAACTGCACAGACTAACAAAGCACCCCCAGGCTGTGTCTCCTGCAGAGGTGCCAAGTCCAAGTCTATCTTATCTGCATGTGGTGAGCACTTTTGAAACATTGACTCTGGGGACTGGAGAGATGGCTCAGTGGTTGAGAGCACTTGCTACTCTCACAGAAGACCCTGGTTTGGTTACCAGCATCCATATTGTGGCTCACAACCATTTGTAACTCCAGTTCAAGGGATCTTGCCTCTCTGGCCTCCTTAGACAGCAAGTGTGCATATGTGTGTACATACAAACATACATACATCCATAGTCATAAATGAAAACCCTCATACACACAGAACAAAAATAAATCCTTTTTTTAAAATATTGAATGTAAAAAAATATATATATTGAATGTAGGGGCCAGAGAGCATGCTCTTCTCTTCCAGAGAACCTCATTTCAGATCTTAGCATCTTTATTGTGCAGCTCATAACTGCTTGCAACCACAGCTCCAGAAGATCCAATGTCCTCTAGCCTCTGAGGGTATCTGTACATATGCAGCACACACATATACATAAATAATAGTTTTAAATCATGTTGAGTATAGAGCCAGGTATAGTGGTACACATCTGTAATTCAAACACTTGGTAAGGAGGCAGGAAGATCAGAAGTTCAAATCCAGCCTGGACTATGTGAGATCCTCTCTCAAGAGCACAAAATAGCAGTAACAGAGGGGAGTGAACAGGGTAGCAATTAGAATGGGTGGGAAAGAGAGTAGATGGGGATTCGGTCTCATACAAACAAACCACCATTGCCTCTAGCAGGCTGCTCTCTCAAGACCCTAAAATACAATCCCTTGTGAGGCTTGGATCCAGCCCAGGGGGCTGTGTGTGTGGAGGGGGATGTCATATTCAGAACAGCAGGATCCTGCTGTGAGTGAAGGAAGTTGTGACCGCTCTCTCTGAGCTATGCAGGAAAATGCTGGGCTCTTGAGATAACCTGAAGCCAGCTGGCCACATAGCTGGCCAACTTCAGGGCCTCCAATGTTGTCAAGGTACAGTTTTCAGGTCCCACACTCTGTGAGCTGTTTTAAATGAAGAAACTCCCCAATCATTTAATATTACCAATATAGACTCAGGAGCTCAGAGAGGCAGAGAAAGCAGCCACCTGACCTTCCTACTCAGCTCATGTTCCAGAAGGAAAAGCCAAAAGCTTGTTAGCTCACGGGACAGCCTGGGAAGAGAAAGCCAAAAGCCCCCTTTTCTTCTCCTCCATGCTGTCTTAAATACCCCCTCTCCAAGTCCCTTCTTTCTACTTAATCCCTGTGAGCTGGTTTCTTGCTCTGCCTCTTGACCCAGGGTTAACTTTATTAAGTCCGGTGTACAGAAAACTCTAGGATCTAAGGTGTGTGTTAGGGCTGAGACACACCCTAATCACCTGTTTACAATAAACAGAAAGTTCTTGGATTAAAGGTGTGTGACAGGCTTGAACCACACCAAACAAGAAACAGGTTTTATACTTCATAATCTCATGTGTTCACAATAAAATCAGTGGCAAAGTGGCTTCCTTGGATTATGCCCTCCTTGATTATGTCCAGACGAGGGACTTCTTTTTGTTTATATTACCTTAAATCAGGTGCCTGCCCCTGACAGTGTGAATAACCTATTCACACACATGCAACACACACTCAAAGTGACACAACTACTCATACACCCACACAAACTCACTCATAGACACATACTCATATGCATATACACTCCCACACCCACTTCTATTCTTTCTTTCACACACACCCACTGTTACACACACTCACTGACACTGACACATACTCACACTCCCAGTAACTCTTACCACTGGCTCTGTGTGGTAATGTGATGCATCTAAGGATTCCTTCTGTCGTTTCTATGGATGCAGAAAAAAAGAACAGGGCTTCTGGCAGAAGAGGCTGTGTGGGTGAGGCCTAAGCAACCCTGTGGTGTAATTAGTCAGTAGGGGGACTTACAGTACATCATACTCAGAGATATGCTTCATTTCTTTTTGTTTTGTGTTTTTGAGACAGAGTTTCTCCATGTAGCCTTAGCTGTCAAGGGACTCTCTCTCTCTGTAGACCAGGCCTTGAACTCACAGAGATCCTCCTGCTTCTGCCTCCCAAGTGGTGGGATTACCGGTGTGTGCTACCACTGCCCAGCACTGATTCATTTCTCTGAAAGTAAGAAGACTCCGGGGATTAAATGCTGTGGAACCAGGAACCAGATTTCAAGAGCCAAGACCGTGCTTCATTCTTCCAGCACAATGTGGGGTCACCACCCAAGAGGAACTTTGACTGGCAGCTCACAGCACAGGTGTCCTTTGCCTGGCACATTCCATATATCCAGGCTTCCAGGAGAAAGCAGATCGTTAGCCTGGATCGTGTTGTATGTATAGTTTAGGCTAAGCCATGCTTAGCCATTCTGGGGATGGTGAAAAGCCTTCCAACTTCCACGTTCCTGTATGATGATCGAGGGCCATGCTTCAAGCTGACCCTCCTAAGCACGGCAGCCAGGTGTGTTGCATAGACCTAGGTCTGCAAAGACAAGGATTTGAAGCACCAAAAGCAACTGGCACTCACTTTCATATCGTTGATTGATCTGTGTCCCTTCAGCCTCAAGGGATTATGCAGAGCTGGACTCAGGTGAAGGCTGGACACAACAGGTTTGTATCAGAGCCAGCGAGTTTAGGAACGTGTCATCTTTTATAGTAGACCCTAAGCATAGCCACGGGAGCTGTGTCTGACTGAGACAACATATTTATCTGATTGCTCAGCAGCTGGCTCTTGGGAGACAAAAGCAGGAGGGTTGCTGCAAGTTGAGGCCGACCAGGGCTATGTAGCTAGATTCTGTCTCAGCTTAAAAAAAGATTATACCTATATCTATCTATACAAATTATAGACATCTATAGACACATTTAACTATAGATACACCTGTGGTAGATATTTCTATGAAGTTGAGCTCAGCATGGTATACACAGCAAGTGTAAACATAGCAAGTTATAAGCCAGCAGGGTTATATAGTAAGCCCATCTCAAAAAATAATAGGTATATATATATATATATATATATATATATATATATATATATATGTACATGTATATATATGTATACACTGTTAGCCAAACCAAACCAAACCAAACAACAACAAAAACTTGTCCTTCACTCTGGAGGGAGAAACTATCTTTATCTTCCAAGGTTGTCTGACACAGTATCCATGAGAACAAAATGTCATGTGGTCTCCTCAGACATGCAGAAATGGAAGACAGCCATTGCAAGGCTGGGGAGGCAGCTAGAAGAGCAGGGATGCATGCAGCTGGAAGCAGGAATGGAGGCACCTGGAAACGGAAAGCTACAGGGAATCAAAGGGTAAAATCTTCTTGCTGCAGAAACACTCGTTTGTTTACTTGATGATAGGGCAGCATTTATTTGCGCTGGTTCTTTGGCTCAGCACTGTCCTAATGCCTGGCAAGCTTGAACTCAGCCCCTCCCCAGTGACAGACAGCCTAGTAGCTTGTGACACAGGGCTGGTTTCCATAGTTTTGAATTTTTTGAATTGTGTTCAAACAAACAACTGTTGTCAAGAGATGTGGGTCAGTTGGTAGAGTGTGTGCTTAGCACGCATAAAGGAAGTCCTGAGTTCCATCGCTAGCACCTCATTGATGGGGGTGGGGAAGGTCAGGGTTTCAAGGTCATTTCCAACTACACAGGGAGTTTTGGGGCTAGCCTGCACTATGTGAGAGCCTACAAAGCAAACAAAGAAAATCCTTGTCAACAAAGAGCAAACCCATTGTGTACAAGATCATGAAAAATGCTGCTTCTCGATGCAAATGTTTTCTTCCCTTTTTTCGAAGATAATGGCTATCATGGGGGGGTGAGCCTCCCCAGACTGATTTCAGAGGACTGCCCGGGAGCTTTAGAATCAAGTACACTTTGTCAGCATTGGCAACTTCCTGTTAAGTAAGTTTTTTTTTTTTTTTTTTTTTCTAAAATCCATCATTGTGTACCATTTCCTCCACATAAAGAGAAAGGAAATGGTGGGTGGTGGTGCTAGCAACCTGGCCTCAATTGAGTTCAGTTTGCCGAGAGGATGGAAGTGGTGAGGACCCACCTGAGAGATCTTCCACTGTGACAAGCACTGGGTCATCGTCTATCAGTTTTGGTGCAAATACATTTTTTTTAAGTGAGGGTCTTGCCGTGTGGCCCAGGCTAGCTTCAAAACCACCATTTTCCTCCCCATGTGCTAGGGTTGCAGGCATGTACCACTCCCCAAATGAACGGCATTTATAAAACGCCTTCTTGGCCCAGTGGGTGAGATGGATCTGTGAATAAAGGCGGTTATTGCCAAGTCTGGGATTGATCCGCAGGACTCATATGGTGCGAGAGAACCTCCTCCTGTAAATTGTTCTCTGACCTCCACACATGAGCTGTAGTCCGTACACATACAGCCCGGCAAAACATTCATATATAAAATTTAAAAATTTTTGAAAATTCTAATATATAGTTTTTGAGGCAGGATAGAAAGGAAAATTTAAATGGACATAGGAAGCAGGGGAAACTCTTTCTGCTAGGGTTAGTTTTCACTTTCCACAGACTGAGAGAAACACAACTGACTAAATTGTGACTGCTTGCCAATGGATCTCTGTAAGTTCAAGGCCAGCTAGGACTACACATCAAGCCCCTGGCTCAAGAAGAACAGGAGGAGAAAGAAGAGAAAGAGTAAGATAATGATGATGGTGATGATGATGATTTCCCAGAGTCTACATTCCTTTTTAAAGAGATAATGTTAAATAAGCCAGGCATGGTGGTACATGCCTTAAAGCCCTTGGCTCAGGAGGTTGTTTCCATGAGTTCCAGGGCCAGCATGGTCTACATAGTGAGTTCCAGGCCAGCCAAGGCTGTATAGCATGACCCTGCTTCAAATAAACAAACAAAAAGTGCTAAGGATCTGCTTCATTGGATACAGTGCCTGCCTATCACACACAAAGCCCTGTAATCCCAGCACTAAAGAGATGGAGGCAGGAGCATCAGAGGTTCGAGGTCACCCTTGGCTACACAGAGGGTTTCACTTTCCACAAACTGTCACAATCACCACAGCATGCTTCCTTAAAGACAGAACGCTTATGAGTCTTTGGGTTTCTCTGTATCAGCACACTCCTCTCATCCCCAAACCCAGGCAATGCACCCTTGGCAGGAAACTAAGTGAGCTAGCTCGTAATTTCCTACTTAATCTTTAAACTTTGTTTGAACTCTGCATTTTGTTGCAAGCTGCAGCCTTTGAGCTATGTAACTTCAGAACCCACAACATCAGATGGATAGCTACTGTTACAACACCTAAGGGTAACTCTCCCTCTTGAAAAGGTCATACCCAAGTACAGGGCGTTTAGTATTGTTTCTCTTTTTTTAATGTATACACAGCTGTAGATATGCATTTATAGCATGCTAGAAAAAAACATGATCTGCCACTGAAATGTATCCACATCCCTTAATTTTCTTTCTTTCTTTCTTTCTTTCTTTTTTTTTTTTTTTTTTTTTTTTTGGAAACAAAGTCTTACTCTATAGCCTAGGCTGTCCCTAGTACATGTCATGTAGGCGCAGGCTAGCCTTGAACTTAACGTAATTTGTAAGTTTGTAAGTCTGAAGGCACAGGTATAAGTCATTTTTCTGGGCCCACAACTACCTAGGATCCCAGGCACAGCCAAACCCAGAAGATGGAGTACTCCCCTAAGTGAGGGCGAAAACGCAAAAGAGATAGGCTTCTGAGACTGCCTGGTCACCTCAAGCAGTGGGGACTTCAGACATGCCACCTTTGCAAGACTGGAACTGACAGAGAAATGAAGACCACACCTCACCCTGAACTGCTTACGTATGCATGCCTACTGCTTCTGTTGTTCCTCTAGGCCTACAGCTCATGTCAGTACCCAAAGACAGACTGGAGAGTCCTTGAACCCCTTATTTGTCCTCTTCCCCATATGGTCACACTTTATCACCTTTTTTTCCGCCTTCACCATCCCTCATCTCTTTAACTGGCACAATGGGATGGTGGCTAAGCTTAGCAGGTCAGACACTGGAGCCCCAGCTTCTGCCCTAAAAACGCTGGATACGTGGTGGAGAGATGGCACAGCGGCTAAGAATGCTTGCTGTTCTTTCAGTAGTGACAGGTTTGGTTCCCAGAACCCCTGCAGCTCACAACCATAAACAACCCCTGTCTCAGGATGATCCAAAACCCTCTTCTGGCCTCTGCAGGGGCCTGCATTCACGTTGTGTGCATGCATGCAGGGTCCCCTCTCCTTCCCCTTCTTTCCTTTCTTTTTCTAAGTCTAGCTTTAAAATATATGATAGCATCAATCCTTAGACGTACAGCAAAGCTCGCCCTGGTCTGCAAAATGCTCAGGGTCCAGGCACGCAGACCTCGAGCCACCTGTTCCCTAGTCCTCCCTCAAGTCCCAGTTTCCCTGACACTTAGGTTCCCGAAACCACTGGAGAAGGGAAGCGGACCCTCCATGGTCGGAAGTGGACGCACTCCCAAGAACGCGCTGGCACTTCTCCCTGAAGCCACGCCCAACTCCCGTTACCGTTTTCACGGCAACTGGTGCTGAGCCTTAGCTCGGCTGGCCTCGCGCTGTGGACCCGCCCCATTTGCGGCACGACGGTTGGTGCGTCATCAAGGAGAGCCGGAAGTAGATAGAGTTTCTCTAGAGACCCCGGAAGCGACGGGCTCTGGTTTTTGCTGCAGTTTCTGACTCCGGCCTTGGGATGGGTTGCGACGGAGGAACAATCCCCAAGAGGCATGAGCTGGTGAAGGGGCCGAAGAAGGTCGAGAAGGTCAGCGGGGACTGCGGGCGGCGGGTTTTGGGATGAACAGTGTCCACCGGCGCTTATGGAGGTTTACTGTTTACAGCCACTGGGCAGTACGGGGTATCCTCCCAACAGACGCCGTGTTGAGACGTAAACATTAACGCTCAAAAGGACAGAGACTGAAGAGCTAGTTAGTGGCCTAGTCAGGACTGGGACTGCATCTGCAGTTAGCGACGATTACGCTAATAGATGCTGTTTATGAACTTTGTGTGGTTTGGTTTGGTTTTATGAGACCGAGTCTCATGGCTGACTGGAACTCCTGCCTCTGCCTGTAAAGTACTGGAATTAAAGGCGTGGGCTACCATGCCTAGCACTTTGTGTATTTAAAAAATACTATTATTTTTGTTGTTGTTTTCCTGGGTGTGTATACGTGAGTGCGGTACGCAAGAAAGCCAGAAGACGGCATTGGATCCTCTGGAGCCAGGGTTACAGATTTTTGTGAGCCATAAGACTTGGCGATTAGGAACCAAACTCGGAGCTTTTGGAAGAGCATTACAAAGTCTTAACCACTGAGCCATCTCTCCAGCCTAAACTTTGTGCATTAAAGACATCTCCCCCAACCGGCACCTTATTGTGTGAAGTCAGCCCCTTATTAAACCACTCCAGCACTGAACACACTGACTTAGTGGTTGATCCCAGTTGATCCGCACCTGACTTTGAGCTCCAGATTGTGGAAGCTGTGCACCATTTTTCTTTCAGAACTAGCACAGTTTCTGATACGATGAATATTTTAAATAAGTGAGTGAACAGTCTTCAAATCTTACAAGACGTTGAACACCTGGCATAGCTCCACACTAATGGGAGGGAAGTTGAGTACTTCAGAGTAACATCACTAAATTGAGTACCTCAGTTAACATCACTAAATTCATATGGCCTATAGTTGTGAACCACTATTCCCATCCAGTTATGTGCATTTCAAAGCTAGTGTAGATGATGACGGTGTAATAATACAAGGCGTGGAATGCCCCGATACAGTTCCTAGCACAAGGAGGACAATGTTTCTGACCCAGCAGTCAGAGAACGTTGGGATGGGAGGTAAAACCATCCAGTATTGTACTTAAGACAATGCAGTAGTTTCCTGTCACATTCCTAATAAACTCCACTGGGTCCTGTGTGAACAGCTCCTGCTTGTCTCTCTGCCCTTATCTTCTGCCCCTCTTTAGCTCTTTTCATTTTTGGGGCGGAGGAGGGACCTACTTGAGGCAAGGTTTTGCTGTTAGGTAGCCCAGGCCTGCCCCAGACTTGTGATTCTCCTGCCCCAGCCACCTGAGTGCTGGGATAACCATGTGTGAGGCTCAACTCCTTTTCCTCATTTCTTCATCCAGCCTTCATCACATTGGCTGCAGCTGGGGCTCTTCCATTGCAGTCACTCTGTTGCCCCTGTCCTCCTCTGCTGCTTTACTTTTTTTTTTTTTTTTTTTTTAATAATTCCTGTCACTGTGGTTATTAACTACATCTCTCTCTCCCATGTGGACTGGGGTCCTTGCGTGTCTTATCTCTGTAACCTCTATGATGTTTCCGCCCATAATAGACATTCACTGAGCATGTGTTGAAAGTAGGGATAGAGTGCCCTCAGAATCCGCTAACATGTCACATTCAAGTGTGCATAAAGTTTTCATTTTACTTTTGTTGTCTTGTGCCCAGGGCTGACAGGAGTAGTGTAATAAGAGTTGGCAAAAACAAAACAAAACCTGGTATCAGAAGGGTAAAGAAAAAATTATCAGGAAGTGTAGTTTTTATTAACTCCACTCATACAAGTACTTATTAAATGCTTGTTGTATGTACTGTTTTGGGCCCTAATGACAAACAAAAGAGCAGGATGTTCTATCCCTCCTAGAGCTTCCATATGAAATGCCTGTTATGAAGTAATAATACAGATATAGGATGGGAGATCTGTTCCTGCCTTGACACACAGCTCAAAAGTCTCATGGAAATATCACTTATTCTGAGTGTGGTGACTTTTTTTTTCTTAATTTGAAATAAGCTCTCACTATGTTGTGCTGGCTGGCCTGGAACACTCTATGTAGATCAGGCAGGCCTTAAACTAATAGAGATCCACCTGCCTCTGCTCAAATGCCAGGATTAGAGGTATGTATCCCCACATCCAGCTCATGGTGACTCGATGAAATCTTGGTTGGGGACTGGTTACCAGAAATACAATATCATGATTAGTAGCTTGACACTTTTTTTTTCTTTTTAATATTTATTTATTTCTTTGTTTATTTATTTATTGTGTGTGTGTATGTAAGAGCTTCTGTGTACCATGTGTGTGCAGGAACCCAAGAAGGCCAGTAGAGGGCATTAGAGTTCCCTGAAACTGGAATTGTGAGCCATCTAATGTAGTTATTGGTAACCAAAACTGAGTCCTCTGCTAGAGCAGTAAGTGCTCTCAAGCATTGCACCGTCTATCTAGCCCTGGAACTTGGCACTTTTATCCCCTCCATCTTCCAGGAAGAAGCTATATTCTGTAAGGTGTTAACTTACTGTAAAAATATAGATATCATTGTTGGTAATAGGGCTGGAGATAGCTCAGGTTAGAGGACCTCTTGGTGTGTGCAAAGTGACTCACCCCTGCCCTCTACTCCCCCAACTTCTATGTTTTAGTGTAGCATAGTTTAATGGCATGGTATGAACGTGCTTTGTTGTGTTGGGTCTTTATTTAGCATAATGTTAATTTAAAACTTTAAGTTTTGTATTATGTGCTGCTTATGTGGGGATCAGAGGACAACTTTTGGAAGCTGGTTCTCACAACACTGTGGGTTTCAGGGATCAGATTGAACTTGGATTTGTTTGTTTATTTTCTGTCTTGTTTTTCTCACTTCTGAGCCATCTCACCTGCTTTAATTTCTTAAACCTTTTAAAAGTCCAAATTCGTATGTCACCATTTTATTTATTTATCGTCAACTTACTTTTACATGAGAGCCCCATGTATGCTAGGTAGATGAATGCTGAAGAGCCACATTCTTCACACCCCAGCCATTTACATGTGTCCTCTTATCATTTTAAAAATATGTTGATTTATTTAGTTGGGGTTGTGGCACATGGATGGCACACATGTGAAAGCCAGAGGACAGTTTGCAGTTCTCTCTTTTACCATATGGGTTCCAGGGACAAATTTGAGTCATTAGACATGGAGACAAGTACCGGGACCCCGGAGCTAGCTCCCTGGCTCCATTGTTTTCTTTCAGAAGCAGCACCTTGTTGGGTCATCCAGGCTGGCCTCAAATTTTATCCTCCTGCCTCAGACTCTCGAGTGCTGGGATAGTCACTACTGCTCCTGGGTATGTGCTGTTATATTTGATTTAAAAATTTAAAACATCACAGTGTATGTACTTGTTTTCTTCCTGTTGCTGTGATAAAAATGCCATGACCAAAGCAACTTATTTTGACTTACGCTTCTGGAGGGAGTGTCATGGCAGCAGTGGGCAGAGCAGGCAGCTGACTGATCACAATTTTCTCCACACACAGGAAGGACACAAGAGTGAACAAGAAATAGAGCAAGTTAGAAAGCCCCAGGGCTGTGTTCCCTCCAGCAGGGCTACACCTCCGAGGTTTCATCAACTCCTCACACAGCACCACCCACTGGGGACCATGTGTTCACATCCATGCACTTGTGGAGGACATTTCTCATTCAGACCACCACAGTGTGGGTCAGATACACTCTCCACGTGAGGACTGGAATAACTGAGTGTGTTCTCTCTTAGGTTGACAAAGATGCTGAACTGGTGGCCCAGTGGAACTACTGCACTCTGAGCCAGGAAATCTTGAGGCGCCCAATAGTTGCCTGTGAACTTGGCAGGTGTGGATCCTTTCCTTGATCAAGATGCATTTGTTCTGCTGATTTTTGAAGAGACTATGGAAGTCCTTGATTGGTCAGATACGTGGGGAAGATGACCGTGTGTGGACATAGCTCTGTACCTTCTTACTCAGTTTGTTTTGAACTCAGGAGCCAATAGTAATTGCTACGATACAAATACAAAGCATGAAGCAGCCACACGTACCATAGAGAGCATCGGGGAGTCAGGGAAGTGAGGGCATGACCTGCCTAAAGGAGTAGGGGTGGAGCTGCTACTCAGTTCTAGCCAGTCCTTACAGCTGAAGAATGCGGGCCTGGTGCTTGTAAATCTTCTGGTCTTAATTTCTGAAGGCCAGGGGAAAATAACAACTTCCCATTGGTTTGTCCAAGTCTTGAAGTCCTCTCAGGCGTAGTTGAACTTGGCAGTCTGCCACCTTGGTTAAGTTGCTGCTTATGTGTCTTGGCAGCAGTGGAGGCGGGGTTACACCTGCTGTTAGTACCATAAATCGGGTGACTTTTGAGTCATGTTCAGTTCTTTTCCCCCTGTTTGGTTATCTGAAATCATTGTTGTTTCTTAAACTAACCCTTACTCTTATAGGCTGTATAACAAAGACGCCGTCATCGAGTTTCTATTGGACAAGTCTGCTGAAAAGGCTCTAGGGAAGGCAGCCTCACACATTAGAAGCATCAAGGTAGGATGAAGAATATGGGTAAGCTCCGGGGCCTCTGAGTAACGTTACTTTAATAGGATTTGTTTACACTGGAGACTGAATTCAGCACCAGCAAGATGGCTCGGTGCATGAAACCACTTGCCAGCTGTCTTGTGGTGCAAACCTATAATCTGAGTTCCATCCCTGGGACCCACATGGTGAAAGAGAGAAATAATTCAGTAGGTTGTTTTCTGACCTCCACAGTGTACTGTAATTATTTATGGCATAAACATGCAAAATTCTTTTTTAAAAATAGAATTCAGGGGCTGGGGAGATTGTTGGATAAAAAGCTTGACAGACTAGCTTAGGGACCTGAGTTCAGATCTCTATCACAGGTAAAAGCTACATAAGGTGGCATGTGCCTGGAAGCTCAGTCCTGGGGAGGTGGAGACAGGAGGGTCTCTGGGGCTCATGACAGCCAGTCTTGCTGAGCTCTTGAGCGCGGGGTTCACTTAGACTGTCTCAGAAAATAAGTTGAAGGCTGTGTGGGTCAGCTGCACTGAGCTCACTGAGCTCATTTCACATCCGTGTTATCAACGGTTCTCCACAGAATGTGACAGAGCTCAGGCTTTCTGACAACCCTGCCTGGGAAGGAGATAGAGGAAACACCAAGGGTGACAAGCATGATGACCTCCAGCGAGCACGGTTCATCTGCCCTGTGGTGGGCTTGGAGATGAATGGCCGCCACAGGTGAGTGGTGGCAGAGCAGGTGAAATGGCCTGGTCTCGTGGGATGTCTCTGTATTGTCCTAGACTGTTATAGAGTCTTGTGAGAAGCAGTACCCAGTCATGGTGGCCTTCTTCCCCAGCAGCCATCTGTGCACTCACTGCCCACCTTTCTCAATTTACTCAGAATAGTAGCCCTGCTCTCCCCATGGCCCTGCTCCGTTCTGGCCCTACTCTGCCCCAAGGCCCTGCTCAGCTCTGTGGCCTTGCTTTGCCCAGTGGCCCTGCTCAGCTCTGGAACCCTGCTCTACCCTGTAATCAGGTACTGCATGCACACTGGTCTTAGTGCCAGCCTAAGCTGCTCTCCCTTTGTCCCTTTCCAGGTTTTGCTTCCTTCGATGTTGCGGTTGTGTGTTTTCTGAACGAGCTTTGAAAGAGATAAAAGCTGAAGTTTGCCACACGGTGAGTTTCTGCCACACTCCATTTGTTCCTTTTGGCAGCTGAGGGAATCAGCATCTTTCCCTCTATCATTTAAATCCTAAATTCTTTCTGAAAGCATTTGATAAGTTTGCCTCCTCTTCTGTGGCTCAGACTCAAACACAATCAGGCCGTCCCTGACCACTTTCTACTCGAAACTGGCAGCCTGGAGGGCCTGACTCCTCCTCAGCCTCACTTGCTCTGCAGATCTTTGTCGCCGACCTTCCTTGTCATGGAGTACCTTGTCAGCCCTTTGATGTCATTGTCACAGAATTGTGGATGTGTGTGTCAGTCTCCTCAGTGGACTGTGAGATTGTGACATCAGGGGACAGTGTGTCATCTCTTCATCTCTAAGCCATGCTGTCAGTAAGGGATCACCTGAGGAGTGTTCTTGAGACTATCCTAGCCCACCCGAAAGAAAGAATGATGACTTGGCATTTGCAGGTGGTGCTACCCCAAGCCTTAGCTTCTTTGAGTTTCTCTGGTGCTTATAAGGGTGGCATCTAGTGTAATGTTAAATAGAATTCATGCTTGACTGTATTCAGTGAGTATAGGTGTGGTGGCCAGGCCTGTCATGGATTGTGCCCTCTGCTGGTGGCTTTTAGTGAGCAGTTGTCATGGCAGATCCTGTCCTAGCCCTTTACTGGTGGGATGCCCTAAAGGAAAAGATCCACCACAGTTCTGTTTTCATGGATCTTCCTTCAACTGGGGAGACCCTCACAGAAGTGAGGATCACCTAGATGTGATGTGCTTAGAGGGGAGCTCGCAAGGCTGTGTAGCCTAGGGAGAGCATCAAACTTAACAATGGGCAGCAAAGGCATCTTGAAGCTTTGAGTTCAGAGCTAAAAGGCACAGAGGCGCTAACAAGAGCTTAGGCAGGAGCAGGGTACAGCCATAGATATGACTCAAGAAGCAGCGAGTGTGGCAGGGTAAGGACAGGAGGCACAGGTGTAGTTATAGTTAGTCCCCTCACACACGCAGGCCTGGGGCGGCCACCTTGGTGTTCACGGGTTTTAGTCTAAGCTGATAGGAAGCCAACCTGAAGTGGGTGCAGATGTTCTTCAAACGAAAGTGCACCCTCCGCAAGAATGGCTCCACAAGAGTGGTTCCATTTCTGCAGCATTCAGAAAGCTGATGGGAGATGACGGCAGTAGCCAGTGCTGGGGCTGGGGCTGACTAGTCTTCATGTCAGGCTTTCTTTTTTAAAAAATGATATCTTGGGATCATTAACATGCTTGATGTTACTGGTGGCATGTATGAGCCTGTTGTTGAAGATGGTGACACATCCTGAGGTGTGTCCATGTTGAGAGCCTGGTGTGTATTAGTTTGGCCTGGGAAAGCAGCACCTGTCTGGGCTGCAGAGTTCAATATGTAAAGTGAAGAGATTATAATGATCCTGCAGAGCCCTTCCTTTTAGATCCAGAAATCCAAACAAGAACATGCTTAGGTAGGGAAATAAATAGACTCAGGTGTTATTATCAGGAACCAAACTCCGACTTTAAGTGTAAAGTTTCTGGAGTTTGTCAAATACACTGGTAGAGGGTTGGCTCGCTGCTGGGACTATCCTTTTAGGTACTGCGTGAGGAGCACAGAAGTCCAGCTAGGCTGTTTCTTCCCTCCCTTCTTTCCTTGACCTGACGGGAAGCAGAGAGGACTCTTGGGAAGTTTCTATGGGTCAGAGCTGCAATTGTACCGGGAACATTAGAACCCATTCACATGACCATACCTTACTACTTCAAGGAGCCTGGGAAAGGAGTCTGGCTGAGTGTGTAGGATGAAGCAGCAAGTGCTGGCCCTTTCTGCAAAACTTCGCCCAGTGCAGAGATGGCACAGCAGTTGCATTGACATGTGTCATGATGAGTAAAGGGAGATGAAGCCAGAGGGGCAAGGCCAGAAGATTGCCAGGTTTTAGGCACTGGCTGAGATGTATAAACACTAACAGGAAGAAGAACAGTGACGGGGAGGCTAGGCAGTGGGGCACCCGTGTCTTTAATCCCAATGCTCGGGAGGCAGGGGCAGGCAGAGCACTTTGTGTTCGAGCCCAGTCTTGTCTTCTGTGGCAGGAGGGCAGCTTGATCTCAGCTCATCAGCCTGGGCTGCAGCGAGATCTGTTCGTTTGTTTCCACAAGTGCCTGTGACACACACACACACACAATATACATAAGTAATGATAAAATAATTCAGACTCTCAGGCTCCAGCTGGTTTAGCTCATACTGTGAAATATGGTGTGTGCTTTGCCCTCTGAGAACAGCATCCACAGAGGTACAGGTGCTGTGGTTTGGTTTATACAATAAACAGATCAGTCACTAGCCAGAAAACGAATCGTATTCCTACTGTGTGCTTCGGGTCTTGTAATAAGAAGCACCTTTTTATGCAAGAGATCAGGGGGTAGCTTAACATTTTCAGTGTATCATAAGGAAAATGCTTGCTTAGACAAAGGCTACTTTAATCTTAAATATTTTGCTTAAAGCTGATTTACATATCTGCCTTTAGGATATTTTTGCTCTGTTCAGTTTTTCCAGGCCATGCCAGTACCTCACTGGCTGTGATCTCAGCTCAGTGTGAGAAGCCTCAGTTGACTGAGGTGCTAATATTTGGCCTTTACAAAAGTTTCCTTTCTGGGGCTCCTACTTTAATTAATACATATATATTAATTATGTATGTATTATATAATTAATTATATAATATATTATATATGATTATAAATATATATTTAAATATATAATTATATAATTATAGGTGTTTTATATAATTAATATATTATATGCTATATAATATAGCATGGTATATTTTATCTATTATATTTTTATATTATATATAATTAATATATATTAATTAAAATATATCTATTGCAAAGCTGGAGAGATGGCTTGGTGGTTAAAAGCACTGGATGTTCTTGCAAAAGACCTGAGTTCAATCCCTTCCACCACATGGTGTCTGGCACCCACTTGTAACTCCAGTTTCAAACCTTCTGACTTCCAAGGGCACATGGCACACATACATACATGCAGGCAAAACATTCATATCCATAAAATGGTTGAATATGTCAGTCTTTATGCCACCAAGGCATTGTTAGAGAAAGAGCATATATAAAAGTTTCCCATAACAGCAGCAACAATAGAAGAGTCAGGGACTTAGGAGGGAAGGTTCTGGACCCGTGGCTCAGCATGGCCAAGGCCTTTCATGCCTTCAGCCTGGACACGCAGGGTGATAGCTGTTTGCCACATGGATTACCTGATGTGATAAACCCAGTAAAAGTCAGGAGTTCCCTCCTCCCTCTCTCTCCACATTCTCGTGTGCAAAAGCTCCTGTGGTGGTGGCAGCATGGGCCAGTGTGGTTGTGGCATGAGCTCGTGCAGTCGTGGGCTACCCGACACGGCAGGAAGAACAGTAGATGACAAACCAAGACTGCACAAACTCAGCACTGTTTCCCAGAATTGTATTTTCATCTGTGGGATAACTCATTTACCCACAAAAGGAGCCCCCTAGATTTCTTTCTGGAATTTTCTAGAACAAAGTCGCACTGTTCCTAGTCCACAGAGACAGCTCTGGAGAAGCATGGCTTCCTCGTTGTGTATCAATGTCTCTTAACAGGATCTCCAGGCCCTCAGAATAAGACCTGCTGCTAGTTACTCCAGCGTGAACTGGATTCGGCAGGTGGAGAAATTAGGCAGTTGCTCACTGAAGCCTCCAGCTGTTGATTTGTGCTCCCCAGCCACAGCCTCAGTTACTTCCCTCCTTGATCTCCCCCTGCCTGTGTCAGTGGTGAAGTCTGGCCAGGAGCATGTTTCTGAAATAATTTGAATCCAGGGATTGAAAGAGTGATGCTGACGAGAAGCACCCTCAGTGGTGGGGTTGACTGTTGAAATGGCTTTCCTGGGGAAATAGCCAGTGTGGCTCTGCAGGGACCTCGGCCTGCTGTAAGGCTCTGAGTCTGTGTCGCCTCTCTAGGCATGCCACCACCAGGGGGTCTGTGGAGGGCTCAAACTTGGCAAACAAAGCTGGCGATTGGATGAGCCAAGGCAGATCTCCCAGGCCATACACACAGGTGTCTTGGGCATCGTGGCCTGTAGAAAGAAACAGAAATTTAACTGTCTGTTTCCCCACCAGTTCAATCTCAGTACAGGTAGGTAGTGTGTCAGCTGGGGAGGGGGGGGGTTTACTCTGCAGGAGAATTCAAATTAAGTATTGTCCCGTAACTGTGTTGTCCGTTTCTAAGGTTGGATTCTGAATTTATAGTGAAGGGAATTTTGCCTTTGGGCAAGTAATTGGATAACATTCTAAACAGCATGAGCCACTAAATAGTATTGCTACCCGAGGGGGGTGGGGGTGGCTCATGCCTGTAAATCACAACAATTGGGAGGCTGTTGAGGCAGGAGAAATTGCTGTGAGTATGAGGGCAGAATTAGTACCAGGACAGTCTGGGCCTAATGAGCCTGTGGTCTAATTCCCATTTTAATTTACACTTCCATCAAGCTTTCCTCAGAAGAACCAATAAAGAGCTGCTGACTTTCCACACCAGATCTTTCTGATGAACTACCCACAGGCAAGGAGAAGCCTGAAAGGCCATGGAGTCAGGGTCTGGCAGCTGTGCCAGATGTGGTCACACACACCTCTAATGGCAGCTCTTGGGTGGCTGAGGCAGGAGGGTCCTATGTTTAAGGCTAGCCTAGCTACATAGCAACACCCTGTCTCTAAAGAAAATGGTGAACAAGGTCTGGTGATGTAGCTAAGTAGGTGGAAGGGAGGGTTTTTTGACAGATGCTGTTGTAGCTGTCACTATGCCTTTAATCCCAGGAGGTAGGGACAGGCAGATCTCTGAGCTCCAGGCTACCCCCCCCCCCCCCCCCCCCCCCCCCCCCCCCCCAAAAAAAAAACAAAAAACCAACCCACTGAGCTGCGCAGTTGGCCACCCTCTGACCTGGCACTATTGGAGCAGCTGTGTTTACTCATCTTTTAGCTACTTTGGCTCAGAGTTGACACC